AGAGTAGCCATAAACAGCCCTCATGTGTGTCGACGGTCGGTTACATGATTTGCTCGGCTTGCCCTTCTGCTGCTGTGGGCGGCTGTCCCTGTTGCTGAAGGAGATCTTCAGCCGCTGCCCAGTGGTGAACGGCCCATGGCCCTGCATCTTGGCCATGGCGGTCTTGGCCTGCTGGATGGTCCTGAAGGCGATGACGGCCTTGCCGATGGACCTGCCCGTCTTGCGGTTCGTCTTGATGTCGCAGAAATCGACATCGCCCCAGAAGCTGAAGATCTGGATGAGTTGGTCGCGGCCAATCCAGTGAGGAATCTCCCTGCACACACACACACACACAGAGGGCAGGTGAGAAGAGTGTCCTGTACTGTGCTCTCTCTCTCTCTCTCTCTGTGTGTGTGTGTGTGTGGTCGTCTTTACTGGATAAACAGCTCTCGGTTCTCGTCGATGTGGGTCTCGTTGTCCTTCTCGGTCGCTGCAGACACACACACACATGGATGGATGGATGGATGGATGGGGAGGGGGGTAGCTGACCTTCCGGCATTGCGTGCCACGGCATTGCGTATTCGGGCGGCGGCGCTCTGGCCCGCAGCTGCGCCAAGAAGCTCTCCGCGACCTTCTCGATCTCGTCAGCAGCCAGGCGGCCCTCCAGGTTGGCCTTCATGTTGGCCACCACTTCTGTCAGCACAGAGCGACACGCCTAACACACACACACACACAGACACACACATGCTCCCTCTGTGTGTGTGTGGTTGTGGTGTGTGGGGTGTGAGGGTACGTTGGCCGATGAGACGTCGATGGAGGTCTTGCTGTCCGTGTCAGGGTCGTTGTCCATCGCCCCCATACCGTGACACACGCGAGAGGCCGCACGCACCCACGCGCCGTCCACACAGGGATGGATGTACCTTCACACACACACACACACACAGGGAGACAGAGGGAGAGTCCATCCAGTGACAAGAAGAGGGGCATTCCTCGCGACTCACCTTGGCGCCTCTTTGTCGAATTTGGTTCTCAAATACTGCCCGGCAAAGCGGTTGACGGCCGTCATGAACTCCTTCACCAGCACACGCCCCTCAAACTCGTCAGCGGCAAAGTCCCCATCGGCATACATCCCCCCCAGCCCCTCCTCAGCCAGCCGCCGCTGGCGCATCTTCTCGGCGATCTTCCAGACCTCCTTGACGGAGGCCCGCATGGTGGTGCCGGTGTTGCCTGGGGGCACGTCGGTGGTGCCCTGGCCGCCGCGGATGATGTCTGTGGCGCAGCGGTAGGAGAGCCGGGCTTGTGAGCGGATCTTGGAGCGGAGGAAGGTGGAGCAGCTGAAGGCGCCTGTGGCCATGTCCACTTGTAACCTGACAAGAGAGAGAGAGAGAGAGAGAGGGTGGGTCTCTGTCTGTGGAGCGGTGGGGCTCTCCTCTGTGTGGTCTCTCTCCCTCTCTCTCTCCCCCCCTCTCTCTCTCTGTGTGTGTGGGAAGTGATCGAACCTACACAAAGGTGACGGCCAGCTTGTCCAGCCCCGGCGTGAGCGACCCCGCCTCCGAGACCCCCTTGGGCAGCAGGTCCACGCAGCACTCGATGTTGTCACGGTAGTCCTTCAGGAAGGCTGTCACCATCCTCTCCATGGCGTAGCGGTCGGCATAGCTGCCCAGCGGGAGGAAATGCTCGACATCGGCGATGTGCACGTAGACGGTCCTGAGGCAGTAAAGTGATGGACACACATACACACACACACACAGAGAGAGAGAGAGACAGAGAGAGGGAGAGAGAGAGGGTGAGAGGGGAGGGGAGGGGGGTGGGGGGAGGGGTCGGTGCTGCTGACTTTGACTCTGTCTGTCCGTCGCTGAGGTCGATAGAGATGGCGTCATCGAGCACCTCGGCGTCTGCAGCCCATCCATCCATCCATGTGTGTGTGGATGTCTGTTTGTGTGTGTGTGAGTGTACCCGGTGGGTCAATGGTGAAGGTGCACATGGCCCCCATGTCTGTGCGATCCGGGTCGCTCAAGCCGGCGTCGAGCAGAGACGCGGCACTGCAAACCCATCACCACACAGGCACACACACACACACGTGGAGCAAACACACCTTCTCCCTTGCCCCCCCCCCCCCCCCCCCCCCC